GAGAAAAAGTTATGAATATAGTGTACTGGTTCTTCAGTAAGTGACATAAAAGTATTAATTTGATAATAAAAAATGATAGATATTGTCTGTTTTTCTTTGTCAATGTAGTTCTTGGTACTGTCAAATTTGTTGCTGGCTTCATTCAATATTTCATATGGACCACTAATGTGAAACGACAGATGTGTCGTATGAGTATTTTGCTCTTTCGATCACTGGTTCAACGCGTATGTCAAATATACTTTCATTTAAAAAACGAAGGTTTACCTAAAATTTAACCCCAACAGTTTCGTAGTGTTTCTATATGTTCATAACAATTTATGTTCATTCTTTTTTAAGAAATTCTTACGATCTGCAAAGAAGTACTGCCAGTAAACCTACAAAATAAGCTGAAGTATCTAGACAAAAATTATATGCAATTAAACATGCCTACATTTATTGGAAGGGTGTGGGTGTGGATAAATAAAGGATCAACACCCACACCCACACCCAAACAACAACAGGTAGAGCATGACTTTCCACGACCAGAGTTACAGAAAGATTTTCAAAAACATGAAGTGAGAGTTGAATTCTCGTTAGGAAAATTTCGATGAAGTCCAGCTAGAGTGACAGCAAATGAAATTTGCCGATCTCCCACCCTTTGTTCTCCTGTGTTTTCAGAACATTCCTTATATGGATACCAACGCGACAAGTCAACTCGGTGCTAAACTATTTGAGTAAGTCATTGTGATATTTTCTATTAAATAACTCCATTTGACCGTACTCTTGTATAGTAACATTGCAATGGTTGAGAAAGGCATTGGTTTTGAATTTTTACTTTTGATCGAAACGTCCTTGTGGATGATTGGTAGCTTCATAGCATGCTTTGTTGTCAACTGGAAATTGACTTTGATCATACTGTGCTTGATACCTTTGATTATTGGCATCTCAGTCATGTTTTCTAAGGTATGAAGTGTCTTTCAACCAATTAAATGCATATGGATTGTCATAGCTCATCGGTAATGAAGCAATCAATGACTTAATATCATATTCGAAAGCTGGACAAATTGTTCAAGAAGTGTTTAGCTCACTGCGAACTGTTCTTTCTCTCAATGGTAGCAAATATGAGCAAAAACGGTGAATATAGACATTAAAATAGTATCCAATATATTATAATAGAGTATGTTGCTATTTTTATTGCATTCAGATATGAAAAACAGTTGGACGTAACTCGTTGGAGTGGTATTCGTCAAGGTGCCCTATTGGGGATCTTTATTGGTTTCTCTTCTCTATCAAGTTATTTAGTTTATTCAGTTGGTTTCATATTTGGTTCTCTTCTGATTTCACCTAAATTTCCTCATAGCTTGAACATTGGTGATATGCTTGCCGTGAGTAATTCTTATAATCATTCAATAAGAAAATGAAAGTTCGTGGACTATTTTGATATAGGTCATCTCCATTTTTGCAGAGTCTTTGTTTTTCTTAAGTTTTATTGGTCCTTCCCTTCAAGCATTTTCAGAGACTCGAGGTGCAGCAGCAGCAGTGTTTCGACTTATTGACGAGGTAAATCTGGGTGAATTGAGGTTAAATATAAATAGCAACGACTTTCATTTATTTACATAATGCAGGGAAATGATGCAAATATCAATGAAACAGATGTATGGAATGATGCAGAATCGATTTATAATATCAATGGTGATATTGAATTTGACAATATCAACTTTATTTATCCATCTCGAAAAGATGCACCAGTTTTGCATAATCTCTCTCTCGTGGCTCGTGCTGGCCAGACAACTGCTCTCGTAGGTTCAAGTGGCTGTGGTAAGTGTTTTTGAAAATAAAAATGATAAAATAATCTCATTTGTGTTCATAATTTATTCATAGGAAAAAGTACATGTATATCACTTTTTCTTCGTTACTATGAGCCTTCATCGGGTCGAATCTCGATCGATGGTCGACCGATAACAGACTACAGTGTCAAACAACTTCGACAAAACATTGGAGTTGTTAGTCAAGAACTCGTATGTTTTTTTTCGTTTTTCTTTTTCTCTCTTTATATTTAATTCATCATTGAGATAGATTCTATTTGGTATGAGTATTTATGAAAATATTCGTTATGGTAAAGTAAACGCAACACGAGCAGACATAGAACAAGCAGCACGAGAAGCAAATGCACATCATTTCATCATGCAATTACCAAATGTTTGTGTTATATTCTTATCTTTATCTATTTATGTATGTATCATTATTTCTTGTTTAGAAATATGAAACACTTGTTGGTGAACGCGGTATACAGTTGAGTGGTGGTGAAAAACAACGTATTGCATTAGCTCATGCTCTTGTCAAATAACCTAACTTCCTTTTATTGGATGAAGCAACAAGCGCACTTGATAATGTAAGTGAAAAAGTTGTCCAAGAAGCACTAGATCGAGCATGTCAAGGTAAAAATTGTTTTCTTTCTGTCTAACGCATTGATATATCATATTGTCTAGGTCGAACAACTATTGTTATTGCTCATCGTTTGGCTACAATTAAAAATGCTCATCAAATATGTGTATTAGATAATGGAAGTGTGATTGAACAAGGTACACATGACACATTGATGGCAAAGGAAGGAGGTAAATATCAAGCAATGGTTAAACTTCAACAAATGGAAAGTATCTATGATGATCCAGATGATACGATGAGCATAGAAAAAACAACAGAAAAAGATGAAAAGTCAATATGTATGTTAATATTCTAATTGTAGTAATATTCACTATTCTTCGACTTTTTTTTATGAAAAGTTGAAAGCTGTCGTTTCCTCAGCGATAGTCAAAATCTTGATGAAAGCAAAGTACAAATACTACTGCAATTATCTATAAAATACTTTATTGATCATTTCTCCTTTAGCAAAGTTCAAAGCCGATAAAGCGACGATTCATTTTTTTAAGACTATTGTCAATGTATAGTCCTGAATGGATCACCATTTTAATTGGTTGTACAGCATGTGTACTTAATGGAGCGGCTACACCACTGTTCGCATTTTTACTTACCACAGTAGTCGATGTGAGCGATGCATTCATACAAATATTGTACCAAATGATTGACAATATACCTCCGTTTATATTTATTTGTTCATTGTGTAGACTTTCAAATACTGTTCAACCTCTGAGCGACGTCGTCAAGTGTTGATTAGTAGTTTTATTTTTCTACTTTTAGGTGTTATTTTATTGATTCTTTGTTTCTTTCAGGTGAAAATGCTACTTTTGAATTTCATGAATGATCTATTTACTCTTTTCTGTAGTATACTGCTTTTGCCATAGCAGGATCGAAATTAACTAAACGAATTCGTTCGAAAGCTTTTGCATGCCTTCTTCGTCAAGAAGTTGCTTATTTTGATCGACCTGAAAATAGCTCTGGTGCAATTTGTGTTCGACTTTCTTCTGATNAAATGTGATCTTAAAAATCTCAAAAATGAATATATTATGATAAAAATAGAAGTAATAATACATAATTTTATTTTTCAAAAGTCCATATATTCTATTTATGGCTAGATTTTTGTGCTAAATCGGTCGCCATTAAATGATTCCATGTGCCTCTATAATGGTGCTTATATTTTCCCTTAAACGGTTGTGTCCCTTAAACGGTGCCCACAACTGGTCATACTATATGATATAAGAATGTTTATTCCAGGCTGATATAAGTAAAAAAGTAGTCTTCCCAAAAATTACAAAAACTGCGAAAATCTCTCCAAAAATCGGGTAGTGAGGTGGAAATCTCCTACGAAAGTATGTAAAAATGTGACCTTTTTTTTTAAATTTATATATATTCTGAAAGAGGAAACTTCGCTGCATCTTTCTATGTTAAAAACTCAATTCGATTATTTTACCAAAAAATGAAATTTCTGAGGGGGGCCCTTAAGTCAAACAAAGATCATCATAGTGTGAATATTAGTGATCTTCTTATCGTGAGTAACTCATATCGTCAAGTAATAGGGAAATTAATATACGACTACTGTCTTAATTCAGGTTGTTCCTGTCTTTGCACAATGCATGGATGTGTTCAGTTATATTATTCCTTTCTTTCAATCATTTTCAGAAGCTCGCGGTGCAGCAGCATCGGTGTTGCGACTAATTGACGAAGTAAATCCGAATAAATTCGGGTTTTATATCGACAGCAATGTTCTCTATTTGTTTACATTATATAGGAAAATAATGTAGATGTCAATGAAACAGAGGTATGGAAAGAGGATACAGAATCGATTTATAATATCAATGGTGATATTGAATTTGACAATGTTAACTTTATTTATCCATCTCGAAAAGATGCACCAGTTCTGCGTAATCTCTCTCTTATTGCTCGTGCTGATCAGACAACTGCCCTTGTAGGTTCAAGTGGCTGTGGTAAGTCTTTTCTAAAACAGAGATGTTAAAATGATCTCATTTGTGTTCATAATTTATTCATAGGAAAAAGTACATGTCTATCACTTTTTCTTCGTTATTATGAATCTTCATCGGGTCAAATCACAATCGATGGTCGGCTGATAACAGATTACAATGTCCAACAACTTCGACAAAACATTGGAGTTGTTAGTCAAGAACCCGTATGCTTTTCTTTCGTTTTTCTTTTCTACCTTTCTATTTGTTTTCACTATTGTAATAGATTCTGTTTGATATAAGTATTTATGAAAATATTCGTCTTGATAAGGTAAATGCAACATGAGCAGAAATTGAACAAGCAGCGCGAGAAGCAAATGCACATAATTTCATCATGCAATTACCAAATTTTTATGCCCAATATGCACCTTTATCTATGTATATGTATCATTATTTTTTTTTAGAAATATGAAACAATTGTTGGTGAACGTGGTATACAGTTGAGTGGCGGTGAAAAACAACGTATTGCATTATCTCATGCTTTTGTCAAGCAGCCTACATTTCTATTACTGGATGAAGCAACAAGTGCACTTGATAATATTAGCGAAAAAATTGTTCAAGAAGCGCTTGATCGAGCATGCAAAGGTAATATTTGTTTTTTGTGCTTATCTTATTGATATATGATCCTGTATAGATCGTACAACTATTGTAATTGCTCATCGTTTGACTACAATTCAAAATGCTCATCAAATATATGTATTAGATAATGGAAGTGTGATTGAGCAAGGTACACATGGAACATTGATGGCAAAAGAAGGAGGTAAGTATCAATCAATGGTCAAATGTCAACAAATGGGAAGAACCGATGATGATAAAATTGATATAATGAGCATGCAAAAAAGGACAGAAGATGATGAAAAATCGATAAGTATGTTGATATTTTCATTGTGATGGCCTTCACTGTTCTTCGTCTTTTTTACTGAATAGTTGAACGCACTCGTTTTCTTAGCGATTGTCAAACTGTTGATGCGAACAAAGTACAAATACTATTGCAATTATTTGTAAAAATTATTATTGATAATCTCCTTTTTTTTTTAGCAAAGTTCAAAACCATTCAAACAAAGATTTGTCTCTTTAAGACTCTTGTCAATGAATAGTCGTAAATGGATCACCATCTTGATTGGTTGTATAGCATGTTTACTTAATGGAGCAGCTCAACCAATGTTCGCACTTTTACTTGCCAAAATAGTCGATGTAAGTGATCCACTCGTATAAATATTGTGCAAAAAAGATTGACTATATACATCGTTTTTTGTCGATTTGTTTATTGTATAGGCATTCAAATATTGTTCAGCCTCTGAACGAAATCGTCAAGTGTTGATTACCAGTTTTCTTTTTTTACTTTTGGCTGTTGTTTTATTGGTTTTTCGTTTCTTTCAGGTAAAAATACTGCTTCTGATTTTTTTTTTTTTTTTTTTATTATGCAATAACTGCGATCCTAGGATCCTAACAGTACCAAAGATGAAAAGAGGGAGACATAAAAAAGACAAAAAAAAAACAAAAAAAAAAGGACACAGAAGGTACAAAAAGTAGGCAGGATTCTACAAGTAGAAATGCAGAAGAAAGAACAAGGACTAATGAGAAAACCACATCAAG